GCCACCATTGTGGACTTTGACGAGGACAGCACACCCATTGTAGAGTTCTCAATGATCAGCGACATGCTGGACGAGAAGCTGCCGGTGGAATGTGGCATTTGCCCGGATGTGATGCAGAAGACGAAATTGTCCAAGCACCAGAAGACCCATTTGGTCCCGGGGACCAATCGCTATGCCTGCATCTACTGCACGGAGACGTATCGCGACTGCAAATACCTGGCCGGACATGCGCGGCGCCACATGGGCATCCGTCCCTACGTCTGCGAACTGTGCACCCTGTACTTCTCCACCAAACAGGACCTGCGCGTGCACAACCAACGGCGTCATCTCGAAAAGGAGCACATTTGCGAGATGTGCGGCAAGACATTTGCCCAGAATACCCAGCTGAAGCGCCATCGCGAGGCGACGCACGAAAAGAAGCGGCGATTCCAGTGCCAGTACTGCCAGAAGGCCTACTACAAGAACTTCTCGCTGCAGGAGCACATCCGCAATGTCCACATGGGCAAGCGGAGGATGCTCAAGTGTCCGTTCTGCGGTTTGCAGTGTCGCGATGCCCACAAGATGGCCCGTCATCGCAAGGAGATGCACCTGAGCCAGGGCACTTATGTGTGTCATCTGTGCCAGGAGGAGTTCACCGACATTAACTACTTTGATGCCCACAAACGGTCCATTCAGTGCCGCAGCAATACGCGTCGCTATGTGAACGTTAGGGATGGTGATGGGAATCAGGGAGGATCTGTTTCGGGGGGAATGATGGATGGCCAGGACGACGATGACGATGGTTTGGGCCTGTTGGAGGAGGACTTCGACGAGGACGACGGTCTGCTGGTCGAGGAGGGCCAGGCGGATGAGCAGGGAACTGTCAATGGGCATTATTTGGACGAGGGCGAACCGCAGTACGTCCAGCTATCGGATTATGATGACCAGCGTCTGCTGGTAGAGAACGCGGTCGGCGAGGATGACGACGAGGATGTGGAGGAGGAGCTGCTCACCGAGGAGCAATATTTTAATGCTGTCCAACAGCAACAGCAGATCAACCACCATGTCAATGGGCAGGACTACAACGACGAGCTGATATATGAAATCACCTTGAAGACTGAGGATAATTGAGTGCCGCTCCCCTGCGCAAGCCTTGTAAATAGGACCCAATTAAACAATACAATGTAAACGGTGTATGTGCTGGCGTTTTCGAATATGATCCCCCCCATTTTTGGTCGAATGCAACCCAGTGTCGCCAAATTCACAGGGCTGTATTTGGCAGGGCATCAAGTTCAGAGTGTGGAATGCAACTCCGGGGTCAAAGATCTTGGGTTCCATTGGCGGAACGGGTTAAGGGTCATTGTTGTTTGGTAAACGGAATTTTCCATTCGATTTGCACGGCCTGCTGACGTCAGCATGGGTTCTAGAACGGGAGAAAGCGAGAGGGCAGTAGCTGGGGCTCCAGCGTCTATCGTTCGTTATCGATAACGACCTTTGACGTTTAGCCTTTTTCAAGCTAAAACTTAATGGTTTTCATAGAGTTTTATTTTTAACTTGTATTTTTAAGGAATATATATTATTGAACAGGTACCGATAATACACGTTATTTATGAATTTTATTTCAAAATGTCAAAAATAGATTACTCTTGTCGAAACTCCATTCGGTTCATAAACATGAACATTTGGAAACACCAAACATTTTTAAAAACCATAGTAACAAACCACTGACATACAAATAATGATGAATAAATAATAAAACATTCCTAAATCAGTAAAGGTTTTTCTTTATGTCTAGGGGAAAAGACTTATCTCAAAGGCCTTACTTAATTTCTTTCTGTTTTTAAAGTTGTCATTTTTAAAATTTTCTTACGAATAAGTTGCTGTAAATCAGCACAATATAAATGAATATTAATAAATGGATATTTTTACCTAATAAAGCAACATTTAGGTTTTTAAAACCTTACTACACATGAAACTTAGCTATTTTCTCATCACTTGCAGTCACCACTGACGACAGAAGTAAACAAAATGTTGTTTATATTTTTCGGAATGGGAGGCGTCTACGGAAACGGCCTTGGAACCAAGGGAACCCCGGAACCTTCGATCAAACTTTTCCACCTATACAACAAACCCCCTGACTCGGATTGGAGTTGCCTTTTGAAATCACGCACAAAGCGATTCCCATCAAGATCTCGATCAGCCATATATTTTTTGAACAACCATGGATGACAACGAGGATGAGCTGGAGGAGCACCAGGAGCAGGAGCTGCTCAGCGACGGCAGCGTCGAGGAGGAGGAGGAGGTGGAACCTGATGTGGGCCCAGTGGACAGCTGGGAGTCCTTCAACGACCGCATCGATGGGCTAATCTTTAACGAGCACTGCGACAAGTCGGTGAAAAAGCTGGACGAACGCCGCCTGGCGATCCTCAACCGGGTGCGTCAGCAGTTCCGCGAGGCTCCGAAGGGAGTGGCCGAGCGCTGCCAGGCCCAGAAGTCGCCCATTGACCAGCAGCTGGAGTTGTCCAGCGAGCGACTCAATGAGCTGGTCCGCTTTGGCAACGAACTGGTGACCAATGTCCGTGTGGCCAATGAGCGCAGGGAGCTAAATCGCCGCCTGTTCGAGGCCTCGCAGAAGAACCAGGTGCAGGTGAAGCTGCAACGTGAAACCGTGGAGACAATGGCCCGTTTCGAGAACATCAAGGCGCGCTGGACGGAGCTGGAGGAGACCAACGAGCCGATGCTCCTGTGGGATCAAATCGAAGAGCAAAAGAAACGCATTGCCGAGATAATGGCCCGCAAGGACGAAATGATAGCCGCCTGCCAGCAGGAGGTGGACCGCATGAATGCCAAGTACGAGTTTGATCGCGAGCGGCAGGCCCAGGATCTGTGCTGTCTGGTGGAGCGCGTCGATCACCAGGTGGAGACTCTGAAGGAGGCCTACAAGGAGCACCTCCAAATGCTGCGCCACACCATTGAGGAGGAGCGCCAGATCTTCGCCGCCAATGCGGTGGAAAAGTGGCGCACCTTCTTCGATGCCATGAACGCCAACTTTGACGAGAAGGCCAATTTGGTGAGGACGCGGGAGCAGTTCTATGCCCGCCAGACGCAGCAGATCAACGAGTCCCAGGAGGAGTTGACCAAGAGCACTCGAATTCGGCTGGAGAAGGAGTGCGAGCGCTTGGAACTGGAGCTGCGACGTACGCGAGACAATGTGCTGATGAATTCCGAGAAGCTGGACTACAACTATCAGGTTCTCCAGAAGCGCAACGAAGAGAACGTCATTATTAACAACCAGCAGAAGCGACGAGTGGCACGCCTGCACGAGGCCATCGGACGCACCCGGCGTGGCCTGAAGAACCTCTATAACACCGGCAAGCGGAACATAGCACGTCTTTCCTCGGACATTTACAAGCTGCACGCCAACATCAACGACATGGAGTCGAAGGCCCACCAGGCGAGGCTAAACAATCGCGAGAAATTCGATCGCATCTGGGAGATCAACTATAAGGAGCTGAATCTGTTGGTGGATCGGGTCTACCACATCGATCGCATCATACACGAGCAGCAGCTGGCCATGCCATGGTCCAGTCCCGTGCCACCTATTCCAAACATCAACAAGGCCAAAAAGAAGCGCAATAACATTCTGGAGAAGTTCGACATGCGTATAGGACGGGTTCCAAAGAACCGGGTGCTACCCAAATCGGCCATAAAGCACCGTCCGGACATTAAGGAGCTGCCGCCAGAGTCCCTGCGCCTGATGCGCAATCTCATCCGTAAGCTCTCCGATCGCGGCGGTTTCCTCATCGAGGAGCGACTTTTGAAGATCCTCGAGCCCTATTCCGAGGAGGACAAGTGCCTGGTGCGTATCGACAATATATTTGCGGCGCTGCGAATCCGCCATCTGCGGGATGTCAAGGAACTGACCAAGGTCTTCATGCCGTACACCTACTGCCCGAATTGCCAGCCACAGGGATTGAGCCCTCGCAAGTGTGCCGAGGTCTTCATGAAGGATCAGAAGCCCAATCGTCTGCAGACCGCGTTGGGGCAGCAAGACCAACCGGAGCATCGGCCCACTGGGGAAACCTTTCTGACCAAGGGCGAGGAGGCGGCCAAGAAGTGCCACAATCACTACCTTGTCATGGAGCCAGCCCTCTGCCTGCACGCCATGAACCTCTTCACCTCCAAGATGCACAAGCAGATGTACGAGCACGAACCGGGCAGCATTCTCAATGCGGTCAATTTGATTCAGATAACGGATGCCGAGATCCGTGGCTTCTGGCGCCAGTTCTCGGCCTGCTTCCCACCCTCTAAGTGCAAGCTGTGGAAGACGCTGGAGCACGGCCTGAATCACTATGTGGAGGTGCTGAAGATGCGTGTGCAGTACGATGCGGAAGTGGTTTTTCTGCGCCGCCAGAACGAGGAGTTGCGCCATCTGCTACAGAAGTTCACCGTCTAACTCGGATATTCACAGATTCCAAAGTAGTCTCAGCTGCCCCACTGAAAATCCCAATCAATTATTGTTCAATTGCGTCCAAACATGATAAATTATAATTGTGCCTAGTCTTGCTCTTTGACATTGCCATTGAAATCGGTACATAGACGTGGGGTAAGTGTCCCTGTTCGGGCGCCATTAAAAAAAAGGGTGATGCATATCCAAAGTTTAAGCATTTAAAATAAAAAGCTATACCTAGCAAGAAACTATTCTTGATTTGTTTAGAAAAAATATTTATTTTAATTTTCCTCTGAAAAAAATAATGACTACGTCCATATCGTACTTTGTCTCCCTCTAAACTATGACTATACCAGGTATACCTTTTACTGAAGACCGTTATTAACTCATTGCGCAGCTTTGCAACTCTTTGATTACTTTTCAATATTTCCAAGGGTGGCAAAAAAGGGGGTAATAATAAAAAAAATAGTAGGTAATAATAATAAATCAATGATATGGTATAAATTATAAATATATTGACAACAAACTTAAACGACCCCTTGTAAGCATAGTTTACCATACCGCCCATGCCAAACTGTCCACCAAATTGACGATCTTAAATGTTTGATTTGCTTTTAATTTCATTTCGAACTTTGAATCCATGGGAACTGGGCGGTGGTAGATGATCTCTGGACGGGGAACACCTTCGATCTACGTTTTCTGCTACCCATAGCTACCACTTCTCTTCTGAACAGCAAACGATTAGGACTGTTGCACAGAGTCTTATCAGGGCAACCCGATAAAGTTGAGCCATAGACAAAATTGTCGGTTATACGTGTTTGAACTTATACATATATGTAGAGTAGTCGATGTCATATTGGCTCAAAGTTCGGACCGCCATCGTTTAAAGTGCAGACCAGCGGGCTAATCATTCATTTATAGGGAGACTTTATGGACGACACTACGATAAAATAAAAATACAAGCGACACCCGCTTGTTTGGCTTGATTCCATGGCCAATAACTACAGCCTGTAATAATATACTACATAATTAAACACGGCGCAATCTTATCGACGCTTGCCGGGAATCCGTGGGCTCTACTTTTTTCATGTGCGGTGCCAGCGGAAGTCTTGGACGGCAGTTGGCGAATCATCAGCAATCCGGACGGAAGCGAAGCACCAACATGCGATCTAAAGATCTTATATCCGTCACGGATGCCGAACTGGGCAGATTTTCAATGGAAGATCAAAGTAACTATGGCGTATGTCTCGAGGATCTGCAATTGTTTGCCCAACTGGAGGATCTCTCCGGGGAAAGTGGACCCATGCAGATGGAGCTGCTCAGTCCCGGTTCAAAATTCGATCTTCTGGAACTGGTCAAGCCTATTCAGTTAAATTCTCAAGGGATCTGTGAGCAAAAGCAGGTATATTATGGAGATTACTTTTACGAGTTAAGCTCTTATTGAAGATATTTTTTCGAGATTTGTGTAAGCTTTTCAAAAACTTTGGTAGTTAAGGGGTTACAAAAAAATGTTTTCGGAACAAATTATAAATTTTTCTTTTTCACTGGATCTATTTGTATAATTTAATTTTTTTTAAAAGTCTATTTAATTTTTTTAAATGGTATGGTTATATAAATAATAATATCATATTTGAGAGTATACAAATAAATTGTTTTGGAAACATATTATAAATTTTACTTTTGTGGGTTAAGCTCATTTTAAAAAGCTTAGTAAAGAAAACTTTTTTTTAAAAATTGGGTATGGTTATACAAAGAAATTGTTTTCGAAACCAATTTTGAGAAACCACAGGATTGTTATTTCTACTATATACCTTAATGACTTTTAACATAATAGTAACATGGTTATATATTGCTTCCCCCTAGGCCTTCCAGCAGCGAAACACCACAGAAGCACCACAAAAGATAGAAGACATATGTAAGCCCAAGCGAAGACCACCGACTAGGCGTCGCCTGGGATCTGGAAAAGATCACATTTGCGACGTCTGCGGCAGACGCTTCTCGGAGGCCTACAATCTGCGCATCCACAAGATGACCCACACGGATGAGAAGCCGCACGTGTGCGAGGAGTGCGGCAAGGCATTCAGGCAACTGAACAAGCTTCGCATCCATGCTGTGACCCACACGGCGGAGCGGCCGTATAAGTGTGATATTTGCGACAAGGGATTTCGGTACGCCAACTACCTGGCTGTGCATCGAAGATTGCATACCGGAGAGAAACCGTATCCGTGTTTGGTCAAGGACTGTCCCCTCTCCTTTCACTCCATCCACGCCCGTCGCATCCACACCAAGCTAAGGCATTCCACGCAAACCGATCCGGATCCCGATCATCCGTTGGAGGAGCATGAACAGCAAGATACATCTGCACTAAGCTTCACCTGCCCGATTTGCAGCCGCGTTCTGACGGATCAATGCTACCTGAGCATCCACGTGAAGAGACACTACAACCAGCGGGACTTCGCCTGTCCGCAGCCGCAGTGCGGCAAGCGATTCTTTAGCGCCTCGGAGCTGAAGCACCACCAGATTGCCCACTCCCAGCTGCGTCCCTTCGCCTGTCCCATTTGTCCGGCGCGATTCCTGCGCAAATCCAATCACAAACAGCACCTCAAGGTGCACGAACGCTGACGGAGAATTGAAGAGTTTGTTGTAAACGATGCAGCTAAACTTTTTCTTCATCGTATAATTTAAGAACATTTCTATGCTAGGAAGAGGCCTGCCTTAAGAGGAGATAAAGGAAGTTTAAGTTCAAAGAACTATGCTCAAATGATTCAATATAAATTAAGGAATTTTACCTACTAAACTAAAAAGTAATATACTTTATATACTTTAGTTATAGAAAGATCCTATTAAGAACGGCAAGCATCTCCCCTTTCAACTCATACTCAATCCACAAAACCTGAGACCCGACCCAAGCCAAAGCTCCTGCAAAGTGGGCTTGGGCTGCGCTTTCCATTCAATATAAGTGTTTATTTATATATACGAATTCTGTTTGTCTTTATCTGCATGCTTGCATATTAGATATATGTATATATTTGTATTTATACTTTATAAAGTTATGGGTACGGGGTTGCTGGTTCTGTGGTTGTGTTCACGATCCTGGCGATCGGGGTCCGAAGACTGTTGACTGTTGCTGCATTGTTCGCCTTCTTTGCTTTGTTTCGTTAGGCATAACTTAAAGATTACATTACATTATTAGCGGGTTTAGCCGGAAATACAAAAAACAATTGATTAATTCAAAACCAGGGTGTAGGATGGTTCAAAACCGTAATTAGAGCCAATTAACAAAACAAAATCTCGTTCGCGATCGTTTATTCGATTGATTGCCAATCAGGATCAAGTGTTTGCACACAAAAACTACGTGAGAAACTTAAAAGCAACAAAGTGGGAAAAACAATAGACAAAACTTAAATTAAAGTCACGCCGTAGACAGAGGGCAAGAGCGCTAGCCAACACTGGCTGCCGCGCACTGTGCCATGTTCAACACTGGCCGGGCGGTACAGTTATTTTTGGTTGTAACAGCGAAGCGAAGGACAAAAAAAATTAAAAGAATCCGCAAAATGTTGAAGTAGAAACAAATTGAACTCGAACATAAACTGGTTGAGGCTCTTAAAAATGTTAAGATAAGCTAGCGAATTTCGTTACATATATAGACTTAAGATCTAGACCCAAGAAAAACGCGCACTTGCCAAGCAAAATCCGGCCAACACCGGCAAACCATATTGCATATTGGTTGAGCTACCGTTTCGAATCCCGAGGGGTGATAAAGAAATAAGAATCTCTCGTTTTGGTACACAATAAATGCATCTCTGAACAAAATGTGACCTCAAATGGGCCTGACTTGATTTGCGGCATTCAAATTTTGTTGGGCAAGTGCTTTACATATAGGATATATGATCGCATTTTACGGATATTACGACTAACAAGAGCTGACTGCGTTTTAAGAGTTTTGTCGAATTTTTAACACACACGTACTAAGCGAAAATCGAAACGTTTAACAACCATCATCAAACGGATATATTAATAATCCCATACTCGATCAAGTGGAGGTCCTGCGTGAATAATTTCAATTATTTGGTCTTATGTACATTTGCAATGTATGGTAGAGTGTGTGTGTGTGTTTTGTCTGTGTGTGTAAGCTTCAAGCTTGATAAATCCCAGTTCCTGTTTTGCTCATCCTTTTTCTGTTCCAAATCACCGATATAATTGTTTTGCTTCTTTCTCAAAGAATTTTGACTCTCTCGCTTCTAGCGCTACCAACTCTACGCACACAGATTCGGGGTATCTTTCGGTTTTTGTGTGTGTTCCTGGTCGGTTCTCCATTTCGGTTATTTCCTCTTTTTTTGTGTGTAAAATTTTTAAAAAAATTGTTGCTTCTTATCGAAAACTGTAACTCTCCACTGTTTCCACCTACACAATATATAGTCCTAAACTTGTAACGCCAAATACATGTTTCTCTCTCATATATGCTTGTAAAGATATATATCCCACATGTAAGTGTGTGCTCTTTGTATATAGATATATCTCTATCTGTATCTGGTTTTGCATCTACCATTTGTTTTCAATTACTCAAGTATGTACTCGTATATAATTTGCCTGAACTTATTTCATATGTGCTCTCAGAATTTTTCTTGGTTTTCTCTGTGAAACCAATTCCGATTCTCATTTTGCATTCCCATGGAGGTTCTGACCGGCAACACTGATGAAGCGGGCTAATTGATTTACATTTAACAGCAAGGTATAGTATGCATTTTAGGGTTTCTACAAGCCATTTAGGGAATTTCTTGATAACATACATAGTTTAAGGATAGTACAGCATATGCCATATATGCCCGGCTTTTGTTCGATTGTTTTTTGGCAATTCAATTTAACTTTTTTCTAAAGCTAGTGATCAAAAATGTGCAACCTAATACCCCTGCAGGCGTATTACAATTTTCACTGCCTATGTGCTTAGGGATTTTAATTAAAAATCGAACGAAAGGTTCTCGATCGTATACCAATTTCATCTAGAACTTGCGGATGTAAATATATCTCAATTCCAATCAAAATTTCTTTTGATTAGTATCGAAAAACGATATTTAAGAATATTTACTAACGCAAATTCTTGAGGATGGTACACCTTCTTCTTAATCAGTTCATCAGTGTTACTTGTCAGCGCCGTACTGGGCTTTCTAGGTTTCTTGATTCAGCTCCAAATGGGCCTTAAACTCCGGCGCTTTTTTGAGCGGGCAACTTGGGGAGGGGAAAATTGAAAACCGGAACCGGCCGATGCGCCTACGACATGGAGCTGCACGGCAGCCGCGGCGAGCCCATCTGCGTGAGCACACGATCCAGCCACTGGAGCGGCCCGTTCAGATGCAGTTCGATCCAGCAGGGCGTCGAGGTGACCGTCTGGCGGCGATATTCGGCACCCCAGCCTTTGACGAACGACATGCGGATGGTGCACATGCGCGTCAACTGGTAGACGGCCTCGAATCCCTGCGACACGGATTGCGACAGCAGGGCGGCGAACTCCTGGTTATTGAAGATCTTCAGATTGCAGCCGGGCGGTATCTTACAGACGGTGGCCGGATGCCAGCCGTATCGCTGGTTGCAATTCGGGCTCTGTACAAAGATGGACGAGTCGCTCAGGCATTCGGCGAACACCTCGCCGCCAATATAGTACAGCCGCACGCCCTTGCCAATGTGACGGCGCGTCTGCTCGACGACCTCGTTGCGATTCACATTGGACAGCAGGCCGAGGCAGAAGCGCTCCGAATTGGAAGGATCGGTGAAGCCGTCCACCGTGATCGAGGGCTGCGAGGCGTGAAAGGTTTCGCCGACGCGCGTGTTCAGCTCGTAGTAGGAGATGGAACACCAGAAGGCCGGCTCGTGGTACATCACGGGGGCTGCATCGGCGGGGGGCGTTAGACGCGACATGTTCATGTTGTCGTTGGGATCGATGGGGTCACCATCCTCGCTCATATAGCCGGGCGGCGGGGTGCCGGTGTTGGGAATGCTGCTGCCCACACTGAGCACACTCGACTGCGAGTCCATGTTTTGGCCAAAGGACAGCTGCTGCTGTTGCTGCTGATACGCGGAGGCGGCGGACGAGGATGACGACGAGGAGGAGGAGGGACCACCGCCACCGGTGGCGGTCGCTGGCGTTGAACTGGTGGACGATGATACGGAAACGGGCCCGGCACCGCCCAATTCCATATACTGCGGCGGACTCAACGAGGCGCTGCGAATTATCGCCGCATTGTAATCGGTATTGTTGGGTATCTGGTGCGTATGGTTATCCAGCGGATAGTCGACAATGGAGTCGGGCGGCGTGGGCAGCGATTTGGGCACCAGGATGGACAGCTCAATCTTCTTGTAGTGATACGGATTGATGCAGATCTCCTCCTTGCGCAGATGAAAGGCGTACTCGCAGTGATCGAGGGGCTTCAGTTCATTCTGGGATTGGAGATCTGGCCAGCGCCAGAGGCGACAATAGATGACGTGCGGCAGACCCTTGCGCAGATGCTCGCCGGCGGGAGCTGGCTTGCTGCGCGGCACCGTCACGCACCTCGTCTGGCAGTTCTGTGTCGAGATGGCACGCTCAAGCTCCTCCAGCTGCGAGTTCTTCTTGATCTTCTTCACCAGATTCTTGACGGCCTTCTCCGACCACTTGCCCTCGACGCTGTTGTCCTCGTTGCCCTTTTTGAGTGCTAACAAACGCTTGACCACCTGCGGGGTGAATGGCAACATCTCAGGGTCTCAGGGGGAGTTTTCCTGGGACTTCCGGGTTTGCTCCTCCTCCTCCTCCGTCTGCTGCTCCTGATCCTGCTTCTGCCTCTCCACTGGTGGACGCACTTGCTCCTTTCTTGCTTTGCTTTCGGTTTTTTGTGGATCACCTAGTGTGTGGAATACTGGAACGGTGCTCCTGCTTCCCGCCGCTACTTGCCTTGTGTGTTTTTGATCTGGAATAGTGGAATAAGTTTAGTTGTGCGTGCTTTAGTAATTAAAACCTGATAATTGGGCTTGCATGTGTGTGATGTTTGTGCTTGTGTGCGGAGCGGCTGGATCTGATAAAAGCCCGACCCTGATGACGATGTTTGTGATAATTGCCTGGGCCTGTGTGCGTGTGTTTATATGGGTAATCTATTAAATTTTACTTTAGATTCCGATTTCCTCAAGAATCGAATTCAATTCAGATTTCCTTTCACAATTGGAATCGCAAATCGCGAATCGCAAGTAGCAAATAGCAAATAGCAAATAGCAAACAGCAAATCACAAATGCAATCGTCTGTCTGCGTGGGTTGTTATTGTTGTTTGTGTCACTATTGTTGTTATTATTGTTATTGTCCCCAACAAGGTCAAATGTCTGCGCTTGCAGACGCTTTCGTCTCTTCTAATTTTCTTCTTTTTTTCTTGTTAGTTGCGTTGCGTTGAGTTACAGCAGCCCAGAGAAACAGAAACAGACCCCAGAACGAGAATATATATACACACGCCTAATCTGTGGGCAGTTTGGAATTTTCCATCTTATCGAAGGCGGGGCAATAAATTACCGAAAATAACAAAATCCACGAGCGCCGCACGCAGGAGGGGTTAGATCGGATTGAATTGGATTGGGTTGGCAAAAAAAAAAATAAATAATAAAATGTGCATGAAAAGCGAAAATTGCACACAGCCGACTCGGTTTGGAATGTATCTCTGTATCTGTATCTGTATCTGTGTATCTGTATCCATGTGTGTCCGTATCCGTATCCACCATGCACACTCATATATACATATATATATATATATATATATATATTACCTGTAACGGTACCGGCAACTCAAGCTCCTCTGTTGTCCTGCTCTTGCTCCTGCGTCAGGCTCCTTAGACGAATGGCGCCCTCTCACTCGCACGCACACTGCTTCCAGATCCAGATGCACGGGCACGGGAACGGTAACGGTAACCAAACGGCACCGGAACCGGGCGCACACATCCAGACAACGGGATGGGGGGTGGTGGTCTGGAAAGGGGGCGTGTGGTGGCCACCGCTTTTTCAAAGTTCTGTGTGTGTATGTATATATATCTTGTGTGCGCGCCAGAAAGTGACAGCTATACGCACACGCACACCAAGGCACAGTCTCCGGACACCGACAGGAAAGATACTCGCACACCGACGCACCACACACACGCACACACGGGGGGCGCACAACAAGAACAGAGAACTTCTTTTTATTATTATTCCAACGCCTCCTCGTCGTTTGTTTTTCGTTTTTTCTTGCTATAATTTTGTAGTTTCCTCTCCTTCGAATTGCGTTCTAGCAGGCTAATTTAGTATCTTGCGTTTCGTTATTGGTATTTTTAGCGTCGGCAATCGCACATCCAAGTGAAATTGAAAAGATAACAAACGAAGTAAAAACTCGAAGTTCACGGAACACAGAATAAAAAAGCAATTTTCCTTCCGTTTCGGCAACGAACAAAACGTAAGTGCCAGCAAAACGTAAGCGCCAGCAAAACGTAAGCCACCGTATACCGTAAGTGTCAGTAGAAAAGGGATGCAAGATTCCATAACGTTTTATACTAACGTTAAACGACTACTTTGCCTAGAGGTGGCGAAACTTCGATGTTTAACATCGACACCTGGGCTTTTAGTGAGACCGTTTGTCGATATATACGGAATGGTGGAATTTGGAACGGTTTTTGTTTTTTAATTTTCTCGCTATTTTGAAACTTAATTTAAAAATAACATGCAGTTGCAGAAACATTTAGAGTTAAAGCGATGAACAGGTCTGTAGGAATTTCAAAAGCGTATTTTGAAATATTTAAGGTATCGAACTGAAACCTTTTCAAAATCACTTCTTAATATATTTTTATTTTCAGATTTTAGAAAAATAATGCGTATATTTTTGTTATACCACTATATCTTAAAAACAAGCAATAAAAATCATAAACGTAATCGAAGTTAATAATATTTTAATTTCTTTTAAAACGGTGAACTAAAATAATAAGTGTAATATAATTTTAAAATTTTTGGTTATTACACCAGTTTCAGGGGTTTTGATTTTACTTTTCGGTAATTGTCAACTTAAAGATGCGACGGATGTTAAAGTCAAGTGCGCGAGACGCGCCACGACTTCTGCAGCGCCTGCTTGACCAGCTCATCCGGCGAGGGAGTATCGAAACGGAATCTCTTGACCTGGCTGCCGTAGTCCTCCCGCTGGCACATCCTCAGATGCTGCCGCTCCAGCTGGGTGACGGCGTACTCCAGTCGGGGCCTCCTCGGTTCCGGATAGCCCACCACAGCGTCTAGCATTTGGCCAATGGGTCCTGGCTGTTCCCGGTAGTCGGTATTCGCGGGCGCCTGGTTGGCCAGCTCGTCCTCGGCCGCCTCCTCATCCTCGGCATTGAGGGACCGCCGGCGGTTGGCCAGCAGACCTCCGGTGGGTGTGCTCTTCCTACCGCGATCGCAGGCAATGAAGGGTATGTCAAAGTTCTCCCGGCTGGTCAGCTGGCGCGCCTTGCTGGCCGACTCCTTGGGCGGTGCATCCTTGCTGGCAGCTATCACCGTGGACGAGAGGTCAATGAGTGGTGCTGGCGTGGACGTAATCGTGGCCCCAGCCTTGACCCCATCGCCTCCATCGTCCCGTATCCGCAGACGATCCACACCGTGCTCCAGCCGGGCTAGGAGCGGTATGTTCAGGGGCTTCCCGGGCGTCGTCGTCGTCGCCGCCAATTGGGGAATCACAAATCCCGCTCCCGTCGTCGATTGGTTTTCGCTCTCTGATCGCTGGCGTCGCCTCAGCTTGATCTCGTTCAGGAGCAACTGGTTGTGGGCTTCCGCCGCCAGACGGGACTCCCGCTGGGCAGCCGCATCCGCAGTGGCCGCCTGCAGTTGCAACTGCGGAATTTTCAGCTGCGGAATAACAAATCTGGGCGTCGTTTGAGGGGGCGTGCCACTTGTACCGCCCAATGTGGGCGAATCGCTGGCGCCCTGGAGGCCGAATTTGGCCTGGATCGCCTGGTGGAGGGTCTGCGTCGGATTGGTAGCCATTTTTGAGGCCAAAACTCCAGCGCTTGATGACGAATTTTCGTTTTTTTTGTTTGGATTGTTCGTTTGTTATTGTTTTCTTCGCGCGCTTGCATGTGTGTGTGTGTGACGTTGTGGCAGGGTTGTCAAGTAGCTTGCATATTTTATCTTGAATTTTTTATATTTGGTTTACAAGCATTTCTTCACTTTATAAGCTTTAGTAAGCAAGCTTTTATTACAAATTTGGTTTATATAAAATTCTATACCAGTACAGCTAAGTTAAAGACAAAACATTTTGTAATAAACATTTTAAGGTACTCGACAGCCCTGGACAACAGCTGAGGCAGCCCGCCAAAATTTAAAAATTTCAATGTTTCTTATAATATAATTTATGAATTAGTTTCCTTAAATATTCAAATGCAATTTCTGTGGTGGAAACTTTATTTATAAATATTTTTGGAACATTCGTTTGTTTAAAAAAATGCAATTTGATCGCGGGTCCTAGGGTTTTTAAGGCATTAAGCGTGATCCAGCCGACAGATTGGACCCTCCTCCACCATCTTCAGATCCACCTTGGGTCCCACAAGATCCCTGATGTTGTTGATGCCGTACTTGATCATGGTGGGCCGCTCCAGCGACAGACCCCAGGCAATTACGTTCACATTCTCCGGCACACCCATGGGCAGCAGCATCTCCGGCCGGAAGACGCCCGAGTTGCCCACCTCGATCCACTTGCCCAGGCCGGGGTGATAGCAGAAGATCTCCATGCTGGGCTCCGTGTAGGGATTGTAGGCAGGCTTGAATTCCAGCTGCGTGATGCCCAGCTTCCTAAAGAACTCGTACAGCGTGCCAATGAGATCGCCCAGCGTGAGGCCAACATCTGCAATCACACCCTCCACCTGATGGAACTCCGCCAGATGGGTGGCGTCCAGCGTTTCGTTGCGGAACACCTTGTCGATGCTGAAGTACTTGGCCGGCTTGAAGCCGCCCTCCTGGTTGGCCAGCTTGTACAGCATCCTGGCACTCACGGCCGTCGTGTGGGTCCGCAGCAGATTCTTCTGCGCCTCCTCCAGCTTCCAGTCGTAGCCGTAACCCTTGGATCCATAGCCACCCTGCGAGTGCACCTTCTTCACCCGCTCCAGATAGTCCTGCGGGAACTTGTGGCTCTTGGCCGGATTATTCACAAAGAAGGTGTCGTGGGCATCGCGAGCCGGATGCTGTTGCGGCTGATAGAGTGCATCGAAGTTCCAGAACGACGACTCCACATAGTTGTTGGTGGGCATCTCAGAGAAGCCCATCTCAAGGAATATTTGCCGGAACTCGGTGCGCACTTTGAGCAGAGGATGCAGATGACCACGCGTTGGTGGCGCACCCAAGGCATCAAAGTTGTAGGCCTTGAACTTGAGCTGATCCCACAGACCGCTGGCAAGCATTTCCACCGTGAGATCCGTTTCCAGCTTGGTGAGCGTGGTGGCGAACTCGGGGCCACGGGCCAGGACAAAGCTCTTGGTGGTCGTTTCCTGGAGGAGCTTGCGTTTCTTGAAGTCGGTCACCTCCTTGGCGGGCAACTGGTCGCCCTTTCCCTCGGCCACCTGCTGCAGTTGGTTCCTCACCACGTCCGTGATTGTGTCCACCTTGCGGCGCACCAGGGGCGGACTTACGCTCTTGTCCACCAGAATCCAGCCGTGGGACATGGCCTTGCTGAATCCCACCTTGGCATTTGGACCGCCGGCTGCCATCAGAGCCGCCTGGGCGATTCCCTCCGGGGGAACGGCGGCGTAGACCAAGGCCTCGTGACTGCCATGCTCCACGACGGCGCGACCCTCGTCCGTGAGGCCCAGACTCTTGTGGGTAGCCGTTTCCGCGGTGACCAGTTCGCCATGCGCCTGAATGCTCTTCAAGGCGCCCACTATCTTCTGGTGATCCTCGGCAAACAGCGCCGCCAGGTCCAGGGTATCCACCTTGTCGGCGGTCTCCAGCTGCTGGAGAATGCGCTCCGTGAGATCGGGATGCATGGCTGGCGGTTCAATGGGTTTAATTCACGGGTAAATTCAATTCTCCAGAGGAATGCGAAATCGGAATCTCGTGTTGCCACAACGCAACCTATCGGGGCTTATCGGACATCGATATCGACAGTGCGAGCAGGAAGCCAGTGTTGGCAACCGCTTAAAGGTGGCTAATCAGATAAGCTTAAAATAGCTAATTTACAATTATAAGTATTCGGGAAAAAAGGAGACTTTATATCTCAGTAGGAATTTGTAAAATATAATGGTTAATATTTTCTGTTAATAAGCTGATAAAATATTTTTACCAATTATTGCTTGCTCTGAGAAGAAAATAATAAATAAACAAAAGTTGTAACTACTTTGTGGAAACTATAGATAAAATAAATATTCAAAATGGATCATTAAAAAATAACAATTGAAACAAAATTAGAGAAAATGTTAGCTTAAAAAACGAGCTAGTTTTAGCGTAAAAAAAATCCCGCTAACAGCACAGTGGCACCTACAACAAGATCAGCTGTTCAACACTGCAAGCTCGCGTTCTTATTGGACGAAAATATTCGAATAAAGGACGCGAATCCTGGCGAGCAACGGCCAGGTGGGAGCAAAGAGCCGCTACCATGCTCAAGACGCTCAAGCCGGACACGTACGCCGGAATGGCGAACGCCAAGTGCGGCGAGATCTACTTCCAGAGCCTGCACAGCTTTCGCATCGACTGTGCGTTCTGTGAGATGAAGAGCTTTGTCTTCGGGGACTTCCTGCTCCACGTCCAGAATGTCCACTTTGAGAACGGGCTGCTGAAGACGGAGGCGGCGCTGGACGCCGGAGGAGCGGACCTCAAGCAGGAGCGGGATCGGGATAGGGAGCACACCTCGCCGGTGCCCATTGTGGCGCAGGTGAATCCCTTTGCCTGGTACGAGATTGGCGGCGACCACGACGAGGACAGCGACGACGAAGATGGACGGGGCTCTCTGGGGCAGGAGCAGGACGAGGAGGAGGAGGAGCGGCCGACCAGGCAGACCATTATCAAGTGGCAAGTGGACCATCATCATACTGCACCAGCAGCCAGCGAATCTCTGCGTCAAGTGAGAGCCCTCAAGGTGGACTATAAGGAGGAGGACTCCGAGCAGGAGGAGTGCGCCATCAAGCTGGATCCGGACAGCGAAAGCAGACAGTCGGCGAAGACGCCCCACTTCTGTCCGCACTGCACGAAGGTCTACCAGAGTCGCAAAGTCCTAGAGCGCCACATAGTACGTCAGCACAAGGATGTTGCCTCTCCGGAGGCGGACAGCGAGGATGCCGACTACGAGCCTCCCAAGGAGGTGCCCGCCAAGTCTTCCTCCACCGCCCAGGAGCACAAATGCGAGCATTGCGGCAAAATCTACCATGGGAAATACAGCCTGAGGCAGCATTTAAAGCGGGACCATGACAATGGCGAGGAGGGAGGAGGAGGCTCCACCACCTTCACCTGCCTGGAGTGCGAGGCCCAATTGCCGCGACTCCGCCTGCTGGACGAGCACATGGTGCAGGCCCACGGCGGTGCAGCCTGCGAGGTCTGCGGTCGGCGCTACAAAACCCGTCACGAGCTGAAGCGCCACCAGCTGAAGCACACCAGCGAACGGAACGTGCCCTGCCCGCATCCTGGCTGCGGCAAGCGCTTCTTCACCGTCCGCCACATGCGCAACCACGGCAAGGTGCACACGGAGCAAAAGAACTTCGTGTGCGAGAGCTGCGGCTACAGCTGCCGGAACAAGGAGACGCTGCGCGTCCACATCAGGAGCCACACGGGCGAGCGGCCATTCGGCTGCCAGGTGTGCGACAAGCGATTCCCCTCCCACTCCGGCCTGCGGGAGCACATGGCCATGCATTCCACAGAGCGGCCGCATGTGTGCAGCGTCTGCGGGGCGACCTTCTCGCGGCAAAAGGGCCTCTATCATCACAAGTTCCTCCACGCGGACACCAAGCAGTTCGTCTGCAAGCTCTGCGGGAATGCCTATGCCCAGGCGGCGGGACTCGCTGGACATATGCGCAAGCATCGGAACGACGAGCTCAACGGTTAGGATCGTGGAGCTCCTAAGGACAAATGTAGGCTACAATTTTGTATCTTCCAATCGTGACGTTTTAGGTTTAGGAACTCAGGCATAGGCTATAGTAGACAGCTATATTTTTAATGGTTCATTTTGTTGTATTGTTTCGGTTTTCATTCCATGGATTTTCATCGAATTTATTTGTAAATAACTGGTACACTTCCTCTAGAGTTAGACAAACTATGGCTGTTTTCTCGTCCGCATGTTAAACCAAAAATAAGCTTTGAAACAGTTTAAAACCTACTTTAAGTTTAACATGCTAAAAGATAAAACGGTCCTGAGAGTTGTAAAATGGATTCAAACAAGTTGAAATTTAGAAATAGCGAATTTGATTGGCGTATTGTAAATATTAAGATGGCATTGAAAGCTACGAATCCTAAACATTGGTTAAATTTAGTATAACTAAAAGGATTTTTGTTGAAAACTAAACTTTGTTAAAGTTAAAAATATACAAGTACATATATTTTAAGCCCATTTAAAGTGTACATATAACGAAATGCTTCCGACAACCAAGTCAATTTCGAAAAAGTCCTGTGAAACTAAAACCGGAAGGAAACCCTGTAATCTCTAATCCCGGCCAGCGGATAATATTCGAATTTGGAAATCCCCCAAAAGGAAATGGGCGATTTTCGCGGTTAACCTTTTTGTATTGATAAATATAACAGAATCTGATTCACAAAAGAGACCCCCGTTCTTAAATTAGCCAAACAATTCGGTTGTTTTGACAGCAATTAATCGGCCCAACTGCTGAAGCGGCCAAATGCCAAGTGGTAAGGTGTAAATCGGTGCGTCTAACAATAGTGCCGGCGTTTAGATTTGGCACACGCGAGGCGACCATGTCGGCGGAACGTCCAACTCCAAGTTCGGATGGCGATGGCGGGCGAGGGCCACAGCGACTGATGTGCGAGTTCTGCGGCTATCGGACGGGTATCCATTGGAATCTGAAGGTCCATCGGCGGCGTCACACCGGCGAGAAGCCCTTCAGCTGTCACACCTGCCAGGCGAGCTTCCCGGCCAGCTATCAGTTGAAAACCCACCTGGAGCGGC